GAGTCTGGAGATGCCTACGCTGGGCAACATATGCGGGCGGCAGCTCGAGGCATCGGTTAACTGAGGTGCTATCCGATGCCAAGGCTTCAATCCATTCTCGGCCCGTCTTGCTGCTAGCGTGGGCAATTATCCTCGCAGCTGTGAAGTTGAATTCGTGACCCGCCTTGTAGGTGTGGGCCGCAACTTGTGATAATGCGTCACACCGTCAAACAGCCAGCTTATGATGGGACAGTTTAGACATGGTATGTGATACACTATGTCCGACTGCTCATTGGGATTTAATCGATCCTTGATTTTCATGACCCGGCTGCGCATTGTAGTCTTGGGACGGTGTGCGATTCTGACGCCTAGTCCCGTGGCACAGCTTCCGACACATCCTTGATATATGGCAGCGCATGCCAAATCGTAGTGGGTGGTTCCGTTTGGGTCCTCGGAGGACGAGCACCTAAGCATCAGCTTATGAAGGCCTTGGGGTAGCCATTCCGCATAAACTGGAAAAAGCCGTGTCGACCATCTTGGCTTTATTCTTCAACAATGTTGTATCCCTTTCAGTCTCCCTTTTGGCCTGTGGCAGAACAGAATCGTTTATAGAATAAAGAGGCTTCACATGAACAGGCCACTCGGATTAGACCTTATTTCTAGTGAAATCCACGATTCGGGAATTGACACTTTGGCGCCCTGGTTTCATAGAATGAGTTAGAAGCTGTTGGATGATCAGCTCGTCGATGCTAACTGAAGCAGAACATCCTCCTGTCCACCTCCAAGAGGAAAAGATAAGACAAAAAGCGAGAAATATCACAACTTCTGTGTCACCGACATTACTGTTAAGGTCTTCGCCATTGGTATTTTCAGATGGTTCAAGCGTGCGCGTCCCTAGGCGCATACCAACCTGCTAGTAGATGCACTGAATTTGATATATTCAGCTATGGATGATGGTTTACTTTGACGTGACGTCCCTATTTTCATCTATCCCGCCGGGTTTGGCACGAGACGTCTTGGGCAGGACACTTTAAAAGCGGTACGACGAAACCCAGAGTTCCCTCAAAATTGAGCACCTCATCAGCCTTTTCGAATTTTGTCAAAAAACCTACTTCACCTTTCTGGAGCAGCTTTTGAACAAATCAAGGGAACTCCGATGGGCTCTCCAAACTCCGGTTTAATAGCAGAATTCGTCCTGCAAGAGCTGGAAAAGATTGCCTTCAACCAACAGCCCCCGACCTTTGGCACCGCTACATAGACGACACGTTTGTTATCGTCAAAAGGAACACGCTGCAGAGTTCCCATGATCTCCTCAACTCGATCATCCTAGATACAAAATTCACGAGGAAAAAAGAAAAATATCAGCAGCTACCCTTCCTCGACGTACTCATCACGCGAACTCCAGACGGCAAAATATGAATGAGGATCTACAGGAAGGCGACGAACGCCATACAGCTTCTTGCAAAAGAAAGATCTTTTCATAAGACTGCAATTTATAGGAGACGCAACAAGTGAACTGGTAAGAAGACGCCTGAGGACAGCAGTCACGAATGCCTTCCCGGGGGCAAACTTGCGCGTGCTCGTCACTAACTATCCCCTTTTACGAATGGGAGGTAAAGGCAGACTACCGTTTCAGGCCACATCGATGTGCATATGTTCTTTCACCTGTTCCTGTGAAGCGGGGTATATTGGCCGAACTACGTGACGTCTGGAGAAGAGAATACGCGAGCACATACTGGCATGGCTCAGCAAAGGGGAGAATAGACCGACCTCAAGCCCAATCCTCGCCCACCTAATTGATACAAACCACCAAGTGGACGCGAGTGAAGCCTTTTGGGTCATATACCGCACATACCCAAAGGCTACGTGTTAGCCACAACAAAGGCAGTGACAATGAGGTTAGCAAAACCCAGTCTATGCTGCCTCTCTTGGCCGACTGCACGCGGAAATCCCACGCCAACTGAGGCCACGTCGTCCGAAAACACATGATTTTTAAGAACTTCGAATGCAGTCTAAAGACACCCGACCCCGCTTTGGTCCTTTTAGCCGGACACCCAGCATGGATGGTGTAGAATGGGGAGCGTGCGTTAGATGCAATGCAAGTCCACCATCACTCCAGACTTACTCACGCGTGAGTCACCATCTTTCATATCTACAACAACTACCCTCACAGTGGCTGCTGGTCTGGAGCTTTTTTAGGCAACTTTAAAGTCGTCAGAACGTGGGTTCCATGATGACACACTAAAACGAAAATTAGAGTTCACTACACTCGTAACCAATCTGCCAGCCAAGGAAATTGTGTTCAAACACAAACGGGTAATGTAAACTAACCTACCTCTTCGGAGGGGGAGGGGGTCACCTCATATCTAATCCACGGCTAAAATTTCGGAATAGGAGCCTTCGAACGTTTTGAATTCTACTAGTAAAATGTCGATTTAATAGCTGTTTCACGTTTTTCTCCTGCAACTCTGAAGGTCAGCATTTAATATGAGCAATGGTCTTTCATCTCGAGAAAAAAAGCATTAAATTCATATATTGTTCTATGTAACATTTCCAGTGATTTCAAATAATCGTAGAAACAGGACATTTATCTGCGACTCGTCGCCCATATTTAGTAGAGTAAGCGTATTTAAATGTGAAACAGTTTGAACCATTAAAAAATTATCCGTCAATTAACAAACATTTACGCGGTTGCCTGTGCTAAACGATAATACCATCGGTCTACCACTACATCTATATATAGATATAGAAGGCAAAAACACGTTCTCTGGGAACAGTATTTTATTTGTCCGACGTTTCAGACTCCCACGCGAGCCCGGCGTCAAGGAATGAAACATGTACAACTCACTGCGTATTTAACTCAGCTTTGCCGGGAGTGACCTTGAGCTGCCATTCCTCGCTCCGCGGGGAGTAACCTTGAGCTCTGCCATTGTGTGCGCAAGGCGAAATAGGCATCCAGGAGATCGATATGCCTATTAAGTGAGTTCGCGTGCGAGTGTCATGCCTCATACAGCAGGCATGAGATTCGGTCGTCTGTCTAGCCTAGTATTCGCACGTGTTCGAAGTCTAAGCCCTGTCCTGGTGAGGATGCGTGGCGGCAACCAATCATAGCTTGTCCTTCGTTCGCACGGCGAGTTCACGCTCGTGTAGGGTCGGGGCGACTCATTTGCCAGTTTCGCCAACATAATTGGCTTGAACGCAAAGACATTCGACTCGGTACATGGAAAGGAACTATCGTGGGGTCCACACAGTGCGTGCTTCACTCCAATACGGGTACCTGATTTTAGGCGATATAATGGGTGGGGTGTATTTTTTAATTTACATGATTATTGCGCACTAATTTCTCCTCCAACTCCATCATATATCTGAGGTCGCTAAACGACAGCCTGATATCACTCAAGTACGAGCCTC